TACAAAGACTGAAAGGAGTGTTCCTTTGGAAGCATACTGAGAAACTACTAACATGTAATTCTTCTTTGCTGTTTCAGGAAGCTGAAGCACTGGCCAAGCAGCAAGCGTGAATCAACTGCCTTAAATGTCTGTAAAGGGAATTTCCACAGCTTTTTATAAAATAGTCCAACTGTCTCTGCTTCAAGAAATGTAGATGTGATTTCTAACATTTGATTGGTGCTTGCAGCATTCACTGTCCATAACACAAATTGAACACGGGATGGAAATGGGAATTTCAGGGTAGGGAGTGGGAATGGGTTCTGATGGAAGCCGAAGCAATCAGACATGAATGAGTTACATTTACTTTAAACTGTCCTGGCAATTCGTCCATTTTGTGTAAACTTAAAGAAACTATTTTAGTACTAAAAATGCAGATGGGTTTTACATAGAGATCCAACTATTTAAACTATGGCAAACAGCATCTAAAACCTCGTCAGATACTAATTTAGTGCCTGAGTTGCCTCAAAAATGTTACTGAGTTACACAGTAAATTTTCAGTGTCTTTCCTGGTTTCAGATGAATTTGTAGGTGGTACTGTGTAGTTTAACCATTGTAGTCACTTTGGAAAGTTGTGTATGTCTTCTGTAGAATGGATATTTAAGGTTTGTATTGTTACACAGTTGTACAGGTGATAAAACCTCCAACAAACCCCACGTATTTCTCATTTAAGTGATCAGTGTGGGCTCTTGGACAAAAAGGGCAGTGGACACGGGTCCCTCACAGCTGCCTAAGCACAAGCAATGACACATCTGGGGCAAGGTTCAATGTTGCAAACAAGCCAAAACAGCCAGAAATGGCCTTTCCTTACCTGTGTAAGGGTGAAAGCCTTTAATGTATTTCTCTACAAAAATACCAGTTCACACTGCTTAGAGCATTAAACATCACACTGCATGTTCAAGTAGCCATTAGGTTCATATAGTATTTTTTCAAATGAGGAAATAAATGTTTGAATAGCAAAAGTTATTGTAATTAAGCAAGACTTCTTTTTTTTTTAAGGTTTTAAAACTTTATTTCCATTCTTATTGCCATATCATAAAGCTATTACAGGAATTGCAGTTCTCTCAGTGTCTTGTGTGGGTGAATTTACCACGTGCAATATTAACCTGTGTGTTCTCCCAGTGCTCCTGAGGGAGCCTGTAATTCTGGCTATATTTTAATTCCTGATTTATCATTTTGGGAGCCTGGGAAGAAGTTGGAAGCTTGTGCTTACAAAAGCAGCACAGCATCACGAGGCAAAGGGATGGATGGATGGATGCTGCCTTACCTTAAAGATTAACACACACACAACTGTGCTTTTTTATTAACAGCTTTTGTCAGGAATTACTGTAATTCTGTGAAATTTAAGATCTTTTCATCTTGGGGATGGAAGTTTGGTTATGTTTTAAATCCAGCATCAGATTTTTGTTGTTCACTATGATTTCATCTTTCTGAACGAGGTTGTTTTTCTTTCTTAATATTGGCCGAATCTTTCTCTGTGTCTGAATTCCTCCTCAAGTTTTTGGGAACTGTGGAATATTAAGTGAAGTGTGGTGAGGAAAGTGGGATTTGACACACAAGTCTGTACCCATACCAGTTTGCCGTGCTTCCTGTGCAAGTTTGGTGAATTACAGCCATTATTTTGGAGAAGCTGTAATTAAAAGTAGCTGCCAAATTCTGTCAGTTCAGTGACCCAAAACATTCTGACACAAGGTCAATCCCCGTCTCAACGGTCAAGAAAATTGCCAAGTTTAAGAAAGCAAAGTCACTGCCCTCGTCCGTCCCCCCCTTGCCATATGGGAGCATTCAAACTGTATCAGCATTCCTAAGGCAGCTCTGGTGAACCAGGCTGAATTATTCCTTTGTCCGGGGAACAAGGCACCAACACAAACTGAAAATACCCAAAATCTCTTTGTTGTGTGTGTAAAACTTGAGTTTTTTGATGCAGATCTCTTGCATGACTTTAGGAGTGCCAGGAATCTGTTACCTCTGTGCTGGTTTTCTGTTTCCATGGGTGCAAGAACTGAATTTGTTCTTTTTTTTCTTATTTTTTTCCTATGTAGAAAGCAGGCATTGAGGATTTAACCTGTATGTTAACCATTCCTGTATCATTCCAATAAAGTTGGTTTAGAACACTTTCTCACTCCATGACTTGTTTGCATGTTTTGTTCACAGTTTGAAGTTTGAAGCTGAAAGAAGTGAAATTTTCAGATGAAAATACTGCTTTTTAAAAGTTCAGGATTTATACAAGGATTTAAATCAGGGATCTGCTGCTGCGGGCGAAGTCTGCTGGGTTGGATCTCTCACCTGTTGCAGCTAATGGGATGTAATTACTAAATGGGATTTAATTCAGGATACACCTACCCAAAACAGTGTGTCAAGGTTTGGGTTATTTCCCTGATTATCCTGCTTTCCCACTCATTGCCCAGGGCAGGGACAGGTTGGAAGTGCCTGGGACACAGCAGCTGCTCCCACGCTCAGAGCTCACCCAGCCCTCCCCTGCTCGTTTACAAACTGTAATTAATTAGCTTTATGCTGCTCCCAGCAGGGAGCTGTGCTGTTTTATATTTGTGTTGCCACAGGACAGTGCAGAATAAATTTTAAACTAAAAATCGCCACTTTCCTTCTTTTTTTATTAAAAATCTTAAAACCCCAGTTGCTACTCATTAATGTAAAGTTCAATGAAAATAGTTTCCCAAAATCTTTAAAAACCAAACTACACATGTGCATGCAAGGTGTGACAACTTTCTCTACACCAGATTCCTCAGATCCTAATCCCATGGCACCAATAAATCATTCCCAAGTCGTTACCATTTACTGAGTTTCCTGCAGAAATAATCTGTGACCTACCCATATTCTGGGATCTTGGTAGAATATTTTAGATTGAAAGGTTCATTATGACCATTTTGAAGTTTATTATTAAAAATTTTGGGCTGTATTGGTAAAATTGCAGAAATGAGAAAGAATTTTAAAGGTTTAGGTGATGAAGTAGAAATTGCTGGATTACTACAGGTAAACACAAGAGTGAGTACTGAGTATGCAAAATACATCTATTTAGTGGAAAATACACATATTTAGTAGAAAATATGTGTGTTGTATTAATGAAGTATCAGATTTGTAAGTATAGGACCCGTGTATCTTGTAATATGAACATATAGTATTTATTATATTACTCTATATATGTATATATAAATATTTATACACATACACAATATAGCAATATGTAATTCATATATACTATAATTCCTTATAGCAATTCCTTATATACTATAATTCCTTATAGCAATTCCTTCTCTTAGATTGATTTATTGAAGATATCATCAAGAACATGGCCATTTCTTCATTTTAATTTGCTCACTATTTCGAAATCCTTAATAAAAGGAAACCAGCACATCATTAATCCAATGTCAGCAGCACTGTAACTGCCATGTTCTTTCCGGAACCCTTTTTCGGACGCAGAACGGGTTATTTTGCTTTACACGGGTCGCGCACCCATTTCCCAGCCCGGGCCGGCCCGAGTCCCGCCCGCCGCGCTGCGAGGGGCCGCAATGGCGGCCGGGGCCCGCCGCGCGCCGTTGCTGCGGCAACCAGCGGCCACTCAGCGGCCGAGGCGGGCACTTCCCGTCTTCCTATTGGGTAATACAGCTGTCGGTCATACTAAACCCCGCCCCCCTCTCTACTTAAGCCGCGCCGTGAGGGCGTGATGTGCTATGTGTGTGGGGTTCCTCTGAGGTGCGGGTGGCCGTGGAGTGGAGTTCCTTTGGAATGGGGAATAAAAAGCCCGCCGTAGCTGTGCTAGGAAAAAAAAACAACATAAAACCTTTCAAACCATCACTATCTGTGTCATGTTTATGTGCATGCAAAGTACACAGCTTGTGCTGAAAGATGGGACTTTGTTTACATACAACCATAGTTCACATAATATCCTTCAGTGTGGTAGTGTTTGCTTTCTCCATATATGAATGATACTATAAGAGTAATTTTTTATTCTTTTCCAATATATATTCAGCTCTAAATTCTGACATCCTTGCCTTCCTGTTTATCCTAACTGCAATCTGTGTTCAGCTTCTGAGCTAACTTTGGCTCTATCTCGCTCTTTGTTTTTGTACATAAAAGGGAATTTCTTTTTTGTGAGATCCAATTAAGAGAATACATTGATTTCTTTGGATGTTGATGTATTTGCCACCTGAATCCCGGACTGGTTTCTGTTGGAAGGGATGGTGAAGCTCATCTAATTCCAGCCCCACCATGGGCAGGGACACATTCCATAGATCAGGTTGCTGGCTATGCAATGGAAGTTGATTTGCTTTTAATCACTCCACACAAATTACCTGACTTGATTTCTTCCTCTCTCTCTGTTACTTTTGTGTCTTGTTGAAACAGCTGCACAAAAATTCCAGCTGCAGCTGGCATTAATTGCAAGCTACTAATTTAAAACTACTTGGAATTTCATCTGCCCTGGTTCCTGCCTGCAAAGACTGTGGGCAGTGACTCTGCTGGAGCCCCAGCCACACCTTCTGTGCAGAAATTGCTCATGCAACGTGATTAAAAATCAGGTAACTTTGAGAAGCTTTTAAATATTAAATGAGTTTTATATCAATTTGATGGGAGCTTTCATTTTGCCTCCATAAAACTCCAAGGTTCTCATGAAATACATGAGAAGGTTTTCATGAAATACAGGAGAAAATGAGGGAAAAGAGATAATTTTACAGACTTCATTGAACCTATATGTCCAGAATTACTCCAAACCTAATTTCTAAGGCACAACATGATTTCCCACTGACAGGGGGCAGGGTTAGATTGGATATTAGAAAGAAATTCTTCCCTGTGAGGGTAGGGAGGCCCTGGCACAAGTTGCCCGGAGAAGCTGTGACTGCCCCATCCCTGGAAGTGGCCAAGGCCAGGTTGGATACTGGGGCTTGGAGCAGCCTGGGATGGTGGAAGGTGTCCCTGTCCTTGACATGGATGATCATTTGTGTTTTGCTCCTGTCATTAAGCAGTGTCCTTTTAGAATCTTCTGACTTGTACTTAGATGAGATTCAGCTTCTGCTTCACTGGGGGTTTCTTAAATTCTGAGAAAAAAGGAAATTTAGAAAACTCACCAACAGAAAACTCTTCAGACTATCTGTGGGCTGGATCCTGTGCTGAGTGGAGGGCTCAGTGCATGAGCTTGGCTTCAGCTTGAAGAGGACACTTAAAACCACCATGGGAGCACCTGGGACGTGCCAGAGGTACTTTTTTAACCCCTAAAGAGTGGGTTTGGTCAACGAGCAACACGATTGTGCAGAGCTGTCTATTAGCTGCTGCTTTCAGGTTGGTACATTGTCCTGTTTGCACAGCAGACACAGGGTATTTCATCAAAATCCAGGGGAAAGGAAGTTGCCAACTTCCTCCCCATCAGTGGCACATTACCAGACTCTAAATTTCCCAAAGGGGAAGTGGTGTAAGTCCACAAGTCAGCTGAGCAGCACCGAGCTCCCGCCAGTGGAAGTGCTGGTGGAATTCGGTTCCGATTTCGCTCTGCCTGGCGCAGCCCTGATCCTCTGCTCCTTCCCCGTGCCCCGTTCTGGCTGTCAGCAGCTCCTCAGCATCACACTGTGGTCAGGAACATCTCAATTCATTTTCAGACATCCTCTTTTAGATGTAGCCCTCTCTCTGTGTTCAAAAACCGCGCTCTCTCCCAGCGGGATCACTTCTGTTTTAAGAGTTAAAAATGCTGGGGATTGCATCATGAGTGCGTCAGGCTTTTTGTGCACAGCCAGCAGTGAGTAAAGGGTGTGTAACATCTGCCCCCTCCCAGCAGCTCTAGCAGGACAGCTCTGGGCTAAGGAAATCCACCTCGGACCTGACTGGGCTTGGTAAGTTGGGCTTTTGTGCCTTTTTCTTTTCCTTATGCTTTGTTCCAGAACACAGGAACCACTTCTTTTATTTGGAGGAGACCAGTTTTTCCAAGATTACCATGTTTTAGCTCTTCATGAGCTCTTTCAAAGCAATAACCCAAAATTTATCAGCAGGTAAGGAGCTGGGTACCCTGAGGTCCTAGGGTGAGAACCTGGTTAACCATGTCCTACAAGGCACAGAGCATTCCAAATTCCATGGATCTTTAGCAAGATTTAGACTGCCAATTCTTCTTTCTTTGGAAATTAGTTTATCAAGTGTCATAAGCGCTTAAGAAAGTGCTGCCCTGCTTTTTGCATATGTAAATGACTCTGTAGATAACCAGGTCTGCTGCCTTTCCTGCCTGCTTTGGCCTCAAAATTCCAGTGCTCCTTTCAGCTTTGGGGATGGAGCTGTGTCAAAAAAATAAAGAATCCCACCAAAAAAAAAAACCCAAAAAACCAAAAACAACAACAAAAAAAAAACCCAGAAAAAAAACCCTCAAAAAACCCCAAAACAACCAGTTGTGCTGTCTTGGAAATGGTTGTCTTGTAATGGAAAACTTTGATTAATTACTGATGGTATTGATACAGACAAGTAAAATATTTTGCTGATTTTTACAGCTTATAAAGCACAATCTGTCTCAAGTAGCCACGATGCAGAAGAGACCTGGGAGCAGAAGGGATGTTACAGATGAAGCAGCTGATTAAAGCCCTTCCTGTATCTTCAGAATTATTTTTGTGAACATGGTAAAGAGGAAAAACATGCATTTTAATGTTTGCTAAAAATAAATGCCTGAGAGGGAAAGAAAAATCACTGTCTTTGTGAGAAGTGCACTGTTCATTAGTAATAATAACATAATAACAATAATAACGATAATATAATTATTCTGTAATAGTTGTTGAATAATAGTTGTTGTATTGTGCCTGTGTTTCCGTCCCAGGGCTCCATGGAACTCTGGTGATCCCTGGTGCTCACACTTGTCACCATGCTGGCAGAAGGCATCCTAACGAGGCTCATCTATAAAGAAAGCTGTCATCAAGATAAGCCTTGCAAATCTCCTGCATCCCAAAAGGCTAAAGAGGGAATCTGGAGACAGAAACTTGTAGACAACCCAGAAATTAAAGGCTTTGCTGATGGATGTGAGAAGCGGGAGGAGCTCTCTGCCAGAAGCAGCGAAGTGGAAGCCGGGAGCTGCCCCCGATGGGGATCCGTGGAGAAGGAGCCTGCAAGAGATCAGGAAATGCTGGTTAAAGGAACTGCATCCCCAGCTCTACATATCCCCAGGAGAGGGGGAAGCCTAGACCAGGTGGATTTGTACAGATCCTGGCCATGCAACAGCATTTACCAGGACTACCCTGACCTGCAGATCGGGGGGGACCGCGTGGGGGGCCACACGTGTGACTCAGGCTGTGTCCTGGACCATGTGTGTGATGAACTCCCCGATGGCCCCGTCCTGCTCTCCATAGATATCCCCCTGGGGCAGTCCCCTCAGTGTGAGCATCCCAAAAAGCCCAGTGGGATGTCCCTGCCTGGAGATGAAGCTGGAGAAAGGAGCCTCGTGCTCAGCGAGGAGCCCCTTTCCAACTCCACGCTCAACAAGTACATGGAAGCCAAAGTGGCAGAGCTCTACAAACAGTTTTTTGATGAAAGCCTGGCCAGGTGTGGTTCCATAACAAACCTCCTGACCTGCAGCTGGATAAGGAACAGCCTGGACCAGATAAGTGTTCAGATCTCCCAGGAGCAGAACATAGAAACCTCCAAAGCCAGAGGAGCCCTCTTGCACTCGTTGGCTTTGTTCAGCTCCCGCAATGCTCCCAACAGGAACAGCTCTGAGTTCAGCACCCCAAACCTCCAAATCTCCAACATAGGTGCAAAATGGAGCTGCAGGATGGAATTCACATCCTGACTGAGCTGCTCAGCTCAGGAGAGGGATGGGATTCAGGTAGGAATGTTTCATTCTAAAGATTAGGTGGGGAAATGGAAACATTTGCACACTACACATGTTCTAATTAATATTTTAAGTTTTGAAACCCTTTGGTAGCAGGCCAAGTAAAGGTCTCTGTTTTCTAATGGAGAATTTGCAATTAATTTCTCTCCAAAATACTGGTTAATCGTGTTATTATAATATATAGAATCATAGAACTGTTGAAGTTGGAAATGACCACTGGGATCATCAAGTCCAACCATCAACCCAACACCACTAAATTATGTCCTCAAGTGCCATATCCACACCTAAAAGCATTAATTTTCTGCAAAATCAGCAAGCAAAGATGACTGCAGCATTTCTGAAAAAAAAAATAGTGCAAGGTTCCTGCATCTTCGTTTGGAAATTTAAATGCAAACTTTCATATGGAAATACTGCTGTTCAGCTCTCAAACACATTTACACATTTTCTCCCTTTGCTCTTGCTTCTCAGCAAATATTCCAGCTGGAAATTATTCATTATGTCACCACTGTAAAACGATAGATGAATTGGACTGTTACCTGCTCTGCAGATTTTTCTTTTTTCTAATAAAGTTTTTTGTTGGTGTTTTTGCTTGTGGTTGGGGATTTTTTGTTTGTTTGTTTTAATCTTTATTTCTTGGGCATTTCTTAATCATCTGTGAACTCAAAGAAAATATCAGCAGGACTGAGAAAAAGCTGCTCCTGAGGGAAAAGTGATCTGACTGGGCAATGAAAGAACTTCTCTCTCTTTATTAAAATGACAGGGAAAGATAATTCCTGATAAGGAAATAAATTAATAAAATCAGACTCATACACATCCAAGACCTGATTGGTCATTGCTTGATCCAAAATTCTCGCTGACCTTGGGGCAAGGAATATAAGCAATACTGAATCTCATCCCTGCTTTTGAGGAGCATGAGAGGAAAAGGATGATTTACTTCCCTATGCATTGCCCTAATTCCATGTATGTCTCATTAATCTCCCTCTCAGTATTCAAAACCAGGCCAGGAGTCCTTTGGAAGAAGCCAAATGACTTCATTAAATTCCAGAGGAGTGCAGAGTGGGCAGAGTTTTCCAGGTTTCCTTGGTGGAGGTGCAAAGAACAATTTAACTGAGGTGGAGAGGGGAAATATTCCAGAGGGCAGCAGCGGCCAAAGGCTTTGCAATTATCCGTAGCAAGAAGTGCTCAGTGCCATTTGTGCTGCTGTGCCCCAGCCCTTGCTTCCCCCTGGGATCTATTTATAGTTCAAGCCAAAGTCTGGAAAGAAGTTAATTGCACGAGGTTCTTCCTCAGGAAATGAGGAAGTCGGAGGTTAAACCTGAGCTCCAGACTGGGGTGGTTTTCAGTCTTTCCCAGCGCTGAGGAATGCATTGGAGGAGCCCCTCTCTGCTCTGCTGCTCACCCCAGCCCCAGGGATTAAAGCCAAGCTGCACTGGGAGAATCCCTGATGGATCTGCTGCTCCATCCCCAGGGCAGAAATGGAATGGCACAGGAGAAAACACATAAATAATGAGAATTTGGCAAAACCTGAGGTTGCTATGAAGTTGCGTTCATCCCATCCCGTCTTAGGACTGGTTTCATAGCTTGTGTTTAAATTAATTTTATTAAACACACTGATAATTTTAGCTGGAATGAAAATAAAACCACATAACAGCAGTGTTTTGAGGAAAATAGGTAATTTAGACCACCCCAATGATGTTTTCACAGCACAAATGGAGGTGCAGGTAAATGCACACTGTTAATGTAAAGCACATTGTGTTTTGTTGTTGATTTTATGTAGTTTCGCCCATGGGAAAATATTGTCCATGTGCTTTCCCCCCCAGCATTTAATAAACTGGTTTAATCCACAGTTTAAGTAACTTCTCAAAATTAATTTCTCTCTGTAGAAAGAAAGATGTTGCTGCAGAATACATTTTTGGGGCAAAATCTGTTAATTTCTAAAAAGATGAGACAAATACATTTATTAATAACTTAAATACTATTTTAACTTTTTTTTTTTTTTTTTTTTTTAATTTACATGTTGCAATCCATGACCTGCTTTGGATTTATTTATATTTGGAAGATGCTAAGTCCCATTATGACTTTGAGTAAAACTCCATCAGCTGCACTGGAGCTGTGCCTGTTTTCGCTAGGAGGAAAAACGCCTCAGTGAACTCCAATTCCTTGAGGAAAATCCCTGGAAAGGTGCTTTTCCAGCCCGCTGAAGGGCAGCAGCTGGATTTCATTACAGAGGAAAGCAGTGCCATATTTTACAGGGCAGACATCCATGGCCAGATTCTGCCTGGAGCTGATTTTTATCCACATGCCAGAAAATCTGATGTTGGAGGAGAAATGCTGGCAGGGAATTTTTACCTTCATATCCAGCTCTCATTCTGTGTTCCCACAGAGGAATATTCACCAGGTCCTGGAACCCAGACCCTGTAGAAAGCTGGACTCTTTAGTTAAATTTCCCCAATTAATCCTTTAGTCAGGATGTTCCCCAGCCTGCCTCAATTGTGGGAATTAAGCCGCTCTAGAAAGTGACTTCATCAGCCTGGGGGATAATTAGGATTTTTACACATTACCAATTTTTCTGAGATTTATTAAATAGTCAAACGGTGATATCTAGTGGTGGTTTCCTTTAGTACCTTCCAGGTCAGGATTTCCAGAGCTTTACAGCCATTTTGCAATGAAATCTCAAAGTCTGTCTTTCTCTGGAGGGAGGTTTATTTCCCATAAAAAGGATGCCCAGGTGTGCAGAAAAACAACTTCCATCAATTAATGTTCTATTCCAGTTAAAATCAAGGAGGACTTAAAATCTGGAAGGCCAAACCCTTCCCTTTGGGACTAAAAATTCTGACCCTTGAGGGTAAGGGGGAGCAGCATCTTTCCTAAATGTGCCTCTGGTTGGGTAAAGCTGAAATGTGGCCTCTGGGTTCTCTGGATCTGGATGACTTTTGAGGTCCCTTCCACCCCAAACCAGTCTGTCATTCCATGATTTTTTCCTTTCTCCCCATGCTGGTGCAGGAAGGGTTTTCCTGCCTCTCACTCCTGTGTTGGGACACAGAGGCTTTGCTTTCCTGGGCTCTGGTTTGCTATTTAGGGATCATTGATCCTTCTAAAAAAAGTTTCTAATTTTGTGCAATAACACAATTTCTTAATCCACTGTGTTGCTGTTTTTTGTTCTCCACCCCAATCTGTAGTGATTACACACTTCTGCTTTCCATTGCCAAATTTCTAAGACCCACAGACCATTTATTCCATTTCTTTGTAGCTCAACTGCTGTCATGTGGGGGATTTTTTTTGTTTCTTCTCTTTTTTTTTTGTTTCTTTTTTTTTTTAAGCTGTGTTGGTTCTTTGTTTCAAATGAGTGAGATTTACCAACGTAATGGAATAAGGAACAGAACTGCAAACGAATTTCTTGAAAATCTTGCTTTGAAGTTTTAAATACCAAATTTTGTTCCTCTTTTCTGGTAGTTGAATTAAAAAAAAAAACAACAAACCTTTCCTGGAATAGAAGGCAAAAACGTTCATGTTGCACATGTTAAATTTATATAAATCAGAGTGTGAAATGCTGTGTGTGGATATTGGTGCTGGTGTTTGCACAGCTCCCTTTCCCTTTGCTGCCCAGCTCTGCTCCAGCTCAGCCATCAAACAGCAAGAACAGGTCACTGATCACAGGCAAGTGGCTTGGGGACAGTTTTATTGAATATTTTTATATAACAAAAACATCCTTGGAAATAGCCACCTGCTTATGTTTATTCCACTAAGAAAAACAAGAGGCTGTGTCCAGCCTTTTGTAAAAAGTAAAAAATTTCAGAGAAAGTGTGGATTTCTCCTGACAGTGTGTGGGACCAGAGTGTGATGTCCTGGGAGCAGCCAATAATGGGAACAATAAATTTCCACTCTGAGGTGAAATCCATTAATTAAACATCCCAGATCTCACTAGTAAGGAGGCAAAAGGTGCTCACACCTCTGCTGAGGTGTATTCTTTTAACGTGTTTCCTATCAATATTCCAGCTGCTCGATGTAATTTTGTTTGAATCCTCCTCAAAACCAGATTTTTGACTGGAATCACTGATGTTATATAAACCTCAGCCTGCCTGGGCTCTGGGTGCCCATGAGGCTCCCCACTCTCTGCAGCCCCAAGTTACTTTTCAGTGTCCCCGTGGCTTGTGATGTGCTGACAGACCCCACGTGCTGGCTCGGGGTTTTCCAGGGTTCTCTGTTCCTGCTGCCCCCAAGAGCTGTGGGTGGGATCCTTCCCAGAAAGGGAAGTGGGATGAGTGGCTTGGAGGCTTTTAGGGTAAGCAAAAAAAAAAAAAAAAAAAAAGAAAAAAAGGTTTACTTCTAAAAAGGGCAAAAAACTAAACAAAATCGATGGTAACACTAAAACATCTCCTGGGTGCTCCCAAATATCTGTCCCAGAGATCAGCATAGAGCACTGAAGGGTTTCCCTAGGGAAATCCAAGAGATCCCTCAGGGATAATCCACCATGGTACTTGTGGGGCTGCCCTGGTCAGGAGGTGGGTGTTCCCTGGGGAAAATTGTGCAGAAATGTCATGTTTTTATTGCAAGAGCCTGAATTTTGGTCACTGATATCACATCCCACTATAAGTCTGCTCTTCTCCCAATCTTCCTCATTCCACCAGGATCAAGGTGCCCGTCAGCACAATTGTGGGGATCAAAATCCAGCCTGGAGACTGAAAAATGTAGGGAAGAGCATTGCATTAGGGAAAAAATGAAAGCCTGTCCATAAACATGGGATCAAATGGTGCTCACATGAAAAAGTGGATCAATAATATCAATAGCCATTACCAGAGGAACAGCACGAATTCTGTTATCACAGAACTTTGGAAAAACATTTTGTCTTTGGCTTTTGGCTTATTTGTAGGTAATATATAATTAACTTGGTGGTCTTAGAGGTTTTTTCCAGCCTTAATGATTTTATAAGGCAGCTTTCTTTGAAAAATGGAGCATATTTAAAACTTTTCCTCCCTGTTGACCTTCCTCAAATTCTATCCCAGCTCTGTTGGTTTTTTTCTGGTTCCATTATTAAATAAGTATAGACTATATACATAAAACCAGTTTCCAGGATGCTGTTGAACTCCCACTGCAAGGCTTTTTCCCCCTCCAAGATGCCAGCATTTCAGTTTTGGCTTAAGGAAAGTGTAGGTGAGCATTAGCTTTTTGCTTTTTTTTTTTTTTTTTGTGAGAATAGCAGAAGACAAAATGGATCATTTTGGAATGGAGGGGAATGGGAGGTTGGCAGAACTCCTTTTCCATCTTGCCAAATGGAACAAGTCCTCAAACCCTTAACTTTAACACCCAATATTTCAACAGAAAGAGGAAAATATGATGGCTTGGGATGTGAGCCCAGGCTCAGAGCTGCTTCCATTGCTCTTCCTCTGGATAAATAATTCCTTAATTACTTCTTAATTGCTGTCAAGAGCACTGTTCTGCCTTCTTCAGAGTAATGAGTGATTTCTTGTTAGGTATTAGGAAGAAATTCCTCCCTGTGAGGGTGGTGTGGCCCTGGCACAGGTTTTCCAGAGAAGCTGTGGCTGCCCTGGAACTGTCCAAGGGATGGAGCTTGGAGCAACCTGGG